GCCGGCGCCGCTAGGCGGAGGATTAGCCTAGTGAGCCGCGGCGCCGGCCCTGCTGGTTCACTTCTTAAATGCTTACAAAGGCTGGGACTGGGCCAGGCTGAAGCCAGAAGCCAGGAACTCAATCTGGGCCTCCTGCGTAGGTGGCGGGGACCCAAGGATTTGAGCCGTCACCTGCTGCCTCCCAGGAAAGATGGCGGGAAGCTGGAGTCAGGAGCCAGAGCCAGGCATTGAACCCTGGCACTTGGATGTAGGATACATGTGCCTTAACCACCAGGCTACATCCCTATACCCCGGAAGGTTTTTGAACAGTGTCTCTTTTATTGCTGTTTTCTGTGGTCTGTGACCTCTGTGGTCACCAGACATACACCTCCCTACAAAGTCTCTGGGGTCTGTGAGCTTGCCTCAGGGATGGAGGTGACGGTTGGCTGAGCTATGGGGTGGGCTGGAGGGAGGGTGCTGGAATCTGGATTGGAATCGCTGTGTGGAGCTTGTCCTGGGGGAACTCCAGACCGGAGAACAGAGCAAGGCCAGCCCTGGCCCTAGTCTGTTGTCCTACAGGACTGTGCAGCGGCAGATGGAGAACCCGAGACAGGAACAGCCGATCCCTGCCCACGCAGCAAGGGAGCTGGGGAGCGCCTCTGAGTGCTGCTCCTTTGTTTTCTCTTCCTGGGGCCGGTCCTGGGTTACTCACGGACCCCTGCCCATCCCAGACTTCCCAATAATAGTCGTGAGGGTGCAGCCGGTCTAGATTCAGATCCTGCTCTTGTCACTCACTGTGTGATGGTGGAGGAGGCCTGGCACCTCTCTGACCTGTTTCCTGTATCTGCCCCCCACCAGTGGATGGTTAAGGATTAAAGGGGTACGCGTGTTCTAAGCTTTTCAGATGCTGCAGCCTACCTGTCAACTACTGATGTTGGTGGTGGGAGTAGAAATAGCCCACATCCCCTGGCACCCCTAAGAGCAGCGCGCCAGTCCTCAGTGCACCTGTCTAGGGCAGTGGGGAGGGCTGGGGGAGAGCAGGGCGGAGCCTGGAGTCTCCACGGTCCCTGACCCACTGCAATTTGTCTCTGGCCTGGACCGTGGCTGCCCGCGGAGGCAGGGCCACTGCCGGGGCCAGGGCCCCATCCATCTTCCATGGCTGGGACGGCGGCGCCCCAGAGCACATCTGTCACTGTCTCTGGTGGCACGGATGACTGGCGTGTCTTCTTTGACAAATGTCTGTGCCGGCGAGCTCTGTGCGGCCGTGGGTACTTAACCAATGCCGGGAACTGGCAAACGTGGATGGGCTGCGCGTGCCAGAGGCCACACGTGACCACCAAGGCCCTCCAGGGAGGCATGGAGCGTGGCTGTGGGCTGAGAAGACCTGGGCTGTGTCCCTCAGGCTTCCTGAAGCTCTGGACAAACCGATTCTGTACCTGCCCCAGGGTTTCCTTGCCCACGTATTGGGGCTAAAGGCCCATGCTCTGTCCTCAGTGTTCCTGCAGGAACGGCTCATCCTTTTGAGCGCACTATTAGCCGGATAACTGCCAGCCCTCGTCAGACGCCTGCCAGGGCGCAGGTGTTCTGGGTGCACTTGCACTTGCCGTGACAGGCCCATTTCACAGTCGCACACAGTGAGGTTCAGAAAAGCAACTGCTCTGCTCTGGAGCCCTCCGACCGGCTCCTCCAGCTGTTCATTTTACAGAAGCTCTGGGGCTTGGGTCTGTGCTTAACGCCTTGGCCTGGACATTTCCTCCTTCCTTCCTTCTGGTTTACTTATTTATTTGCAAGACAAAGTGACAGAGAGGGGGAGAGACAGAGACAGACAGAGCGAGCTTTTCCATCTGCTGGTTAATTCTCCAAATGCCTGCAAGAGCCAGGACTGGGCCAGGCTGAAATCAGGAACCAGGAACTCCAACCTGGTTCTCCCACACAGCTAGCCGGGACCCGTGTGCTTGGGCCATCTTCTGCGGCCTTCCAGGTGCCGTAGCAGGATGCTGCATTGGAAGCTTGAGTAGCCGGGACTTGAACGGGCGCTCCTGCATGGGATGTGGGCTTCCCAAGAGGCTTAACCGTTGCGGCACAATGCCTGCCTCTCCTTTATTTTTCTCTCTCTCTCACTCTCTTTTTTTTTTAATGATTTATTTATTTGATTATTTGAGAGATGGAGTTACAGAGAGAGGAAGAGACAAAGATCTTCTCTCTGCTGATTCACTCCCCAAATGGCCGCAACAGTAGGAGCTGGGCCAATCCGAACCCAGGAGCCAGGAGCTTCTTCCGGGTCTCCCACGTGGGTGCAGGGGCCCAAGGGCTTGGGCCATCTTTTACTGCTTTCCCAGGCCACAGCAGAGAGCTGGATGGGAAGTGGAGCAGCTGGGACTTGAGGCAGCATGTGGGATGCCGGCGCCGCAGGACGAGGCTTTACCCGCTACGCCACAGCGCCGGCCCCTCCTTTGCTTTTCTTTAAAGGAGGTTTTTGTTGGTGCGCCGGATAAGTTTGTTATACATGGGAAGAACAGTTTTTTTCATCTTCAGTTGTCTCTGATGCAGCTTATATTAAATAATTGTTCTGCTAACTGAATATCACTCTGTGATTCCAAAAGAAGTTACAGCTGTTTTGTTGACATTCTGAATGCTTCTAAGTAAACACTTTTTTTCAAGCTTAAAAACTCATTATTGCCATTAATTTCATTTTATTTCAACTACATCTATTTAAAAGTATTCAATAGTCAGCAGCCACTCCGAGGGCCGGAATGAGCTTGTCTTTCAGTGTTTTAGGAAATATGCCAGGTTTTCTGGCTGCTTTACTGGGGGGGTTGTTAAGAAACCGAAATGATTGCAAATACGTTTTACTGTTTATAACACTTGCTGCATTTTTTACTGTTTTCTTTTAGGATCTCATCCTGCCTCCATAGCATTTGGTGCTCATTCTTTTGTTTCAAATTCTACAAAGGCAAATTGGGTTGGGTCTCCAGTACGCTTATAATGTGGTTTACTTACATAAACAACATTGCGACGTTTCCCAAAAACCCTTTCTATCTGACTGTAATTCCTATTTTGGGGAAGTAACTCCTGTGGTAAGTTAGAGGCAGTGTTAAGTACTCAAGAATTTAATAACTCTAGCATAAGCTTTCCACAATTCGACATCTTATTCAGAATGTCAATAGATCTTGACTTTAATGCAACTTGTCCCATGTCAGCTAGCGAGTGGCAGAGCCGTGTTTGGACACCGGCAGTGCACGTACTAGGTCAGAGTCTGACCGAATTATCTAGAAAGCACCAGAGAGTTCATGCTTTGTGGTTTGCAAGCCAGGTGGTCTCTGCTGCCTCCACT